CGAGTACAGTTAGTTTTTAAACATTTTTATTATGAAAATTTTCCAGTACACAAGAGAGAGAATAGAACAATGAACCCTCATAATACTATAGCCCAGCTTCAAAACTGATCACCCCATAGTCGATCTTCTTTTATCCATTAAAAGATGGGAGCATGCCCTTTAATCATTTGTTAAATTATCCAATGTGCCCAGGAAGGGGTAGGGTGTTAATTGTTGACTTCTCCCCACAAGTGGAGAAATTGGGATAAACAGATGAGAGAAAGGTCACAGGCAGTAAATTACAGAGGCCCACAAAATCCAAGCCCCCGATCTTCTTACCTTCTGACAGCACCCCTAGAAAGTTAAGACCAAAACGGGGAAAAAAGATGAAAAGCGTTTTGGGGTGGGGTTACCAACTACCCTTATGGTCTGACCTCAGTTCCCTGAGCTCTGTTTACTCATCTCCCAGGCCTGGTGGTGCCCTACTCCCCTCCTTCTGACCATCCTTGCTGACCACCCTTACTCCATACCCCCATTGAAACCTGGTCTAAGGAAAGAAGCTCAGGTTAGTGAATAAGCTATAGTATCACCTATAACTGCCCAATAAACTTTCTGCAACAATGGAAATGTTTTATTCTGTGCCGTCCAGTATGGCAGCCACAAGCCACATGTGGTGATTAAGCACTAGAAATGTGGCCCTAGTAAAGGCCTTGAGTGCCAGGTTAACAAGGCAGGACTTTGTCCTGTGGGGTGGCAGGGAATTATGGGAGGTGTCTAAGCAAAGGAAAGTTTGATGGGAGCAGGGAGGCTTTATGGTTTTATGTGCTTATTGGATTGATTGTTACCATTCACTGATCATGACCTTCTGGGTGGTGGACACTGGTCTAAGCTCATGTACAGTCTCATTTAATTCTCATGTACAGCTCTATGAGCTTGATGTTTTACAGAGAGAAAAACTGAAGCTCAGTAATAGTAAGAGTCATGTAGTTAGTGAGTGGCAGAGAAATTTAAACCCAAATCCATCTTACTCAAAAGCCTTGAAACACTATGCAGTGCTGACTTTAAGAAAATTCAGCTGCTATCAGGATATTTAAAAAGGATCAGAGTAGGAGGAGGGTGATGAAGTCTCCTACACTGGTCTTCAGAAACAGTTCTGGCACTCAGAGAAGCTAAGTAAATCCTCACTCATTTAAATTAAATGGAGTGAAGGTTCTGGAAAGTCCTTAATCCCAACCAGGTTTCAGAAACTAAGCCTGGTACAGGACTCTAAGAAACTTCTTTGCACCACACAGGCTGGGGATCTAAAGCTTTTACAGGCCCGTGCACACTTTACTGTCCTTTAGAGCTGCTAACAAGCTGAACCACTTGGACTTTTCCCAGAGACTGTGCCCAGGGCTAGGACTGTCACAGGGACAGGTGTGAACCCTTGCTGTATGAAGGTGGCATTTCTGCTGGCCCTATCCTAGATTCTCTCCAGAGGTATCTGAGCTAACCACCCCTGCTGGGAAGAGGACCCTGGACCCGGACCTGTAGGGCTCAAAGACAAAGTTAAACCCAGAGATACAAAGTTCAAGGAAGCAGGATCAAGAGGCTCTGATCTCTGGAAAATTATGTTAAGTGGCATTTGTCTTCACACCCTGCTGTGCCAGGTTTAGCCTCACAACCTCTCCCAGCCTACCCTCGGTCAGAACTTTAGTTTCTCATTCTCCCCTGGTCCTCTCGTCAAAAAAACTTTTGGAAAAACTCATTTATTCTGAGATGTTAGGACATTAAATCAAATTTACTATAATCTTCTATCCCCCTCCTAGGAACATTGCATTCAGTGGTGGAAATCCAGACCCTCCAGGTATAGGAGAATGGGGGCTGAGTTAAGATCTAACCTGTCTGTGGACAAGGCCAGCCTGGCAGATATCAAAGCAACCTGGAGAGAGTGTACGGGAAAACAACTCCAAGTAGGCATATCAAATCAGATGAGGTAAGTCCTTCAGTCCGCAAGTATTTCCTGAACACCTCCTGTGTGCCCGGTCGTACGCCAAGAGCTAAGAGGCAAACAGAGCAGCGAAAGAGTATAGGGAGCAGGCGAAAGAGCTTTGCACTTGGTGACAGAAGATTTACGTGGGTGCGAATTCAAGATTTACCACTGATGAGCCGTGTGACAAATTAGACAAATTGTTGGCTGCTCTGAGCCGCTTTCCAGCTTTCTTTGATTTGGGAGATGAGCTGAGTGGTTCAAAGCTTAAACTTTGTCAATAGACAGACTTATGTTTAAATTCTAGTTTTGTCACTCATTGGTGGTAAACCTTGGGAAAATTCCTTGATCTCACTATGCCTCAGTTTTCTCATCTGGAAAATGGGAACAGCAGCTCTTCCTTTCATGGTGGTTTAAAAATTAAATATAGCGGGGTGGGGGGAGAGGGAAAATAAAATAATAAAAATGTAATAAATCAATGAATAAAAAAGAATGAAATGTAATTAATAATACATATACAATGCTTAGTACACCACGTCAGAATTTCAATATAATAAGTATTATGTTAATCACTTATTTCCCCAGGATTAGGTATCAGACGAAGAGGAAGAGAAAGAGAAAGTGCTGGGAAACCAGGGCATGGCATCAGAAAAGAAGCTAGGTCAGTGGGAAGATGAGGTCAAACAAGCATGGCTGGGACCAGGACCCAGGGGAACCTATTCGGAATCATTATGCAGTTGTGCACAGAGGTGCCTAGCTGAGGGGGAAAGTGGGGGTTGAAATTCCACCTAAACTTTACTCCCTGAACAAGCTTTGCCTGTGCTGGCAGCATCCTGCACAGGGTTGGGCAAGCAATAGGATGAGGCCTGTCCTAAGGGGTCACGGCAGGTCAGCCTCTGAGATAGCTTAGGTAGAAGGAGGAAGTACTGCATCTTACGGAGACTGGCAGCTGCAGCAGCTGGTTATCCAGGGATGGGACTCAGCCGCAAAGACCTTGCACTGGAGGGTAGCTCAGTTTCTAGACCATTTGTGGCTGGTAGAAACCAAGGCAGGTATTCAGAAAAAACAGAGGGCATAAAGCAAAGAGTCCTAATAATGGAATGGACTGCAAGGTCAAGCCAGGCCCACATACAAAGTTGACTCTAACCTGCGTCACAAAGGATGAGCAAGTAGAGACTGAACTCAGTGGAGATAATGATGAAATGGGCAGCTGTTGATACCGGAGCGGGCATGCTGTGGGGGCAGGGAGCTGGGAAGATCTTTACAAACTTTCTTCCATATCCTTTAGCAGTCTAAAGCCCTCTACAGTCTGTGAGGCTGTGTGGTAGGACTCACTTCTTTCTGGAGGAGTGGCCTCTCAAATAGAATGGTCCTAGGAGCAAGGAGATATTCCTCTGTCCAGAAATATTGCCTTCATGGTTCTCTGTACTCCTACTATTACTGGGTAATTTTTTTCAATGACGCTCAGATGCTACAGGAGCTAGGCAGTGGCATAAATGAGGAAGGAGGCCAGGTCTAAAGATAGGGAGCAATAGGGAGTGGCAGGGACTGTGGCAAACCAGGGAGTGAATGCTTCCTTTAAGGAGGGCAGCAGCTGCTCAGCTTAACCAGTTCTTGGGAACATGCGACCCACACTTCTAGTTCTTCCAATTTTCCAAAATAAGACAGAAATCAAATTTTTATGTAAAATCTATTTTTAAATACCAGCACTAATTTTTTTTTTTTTTTTTTACAAAACTCTTGAGGTTGTCATGATGTTGACTAAACCTACAAACATCTGTGTGCCATGCATGGCCTCTAGCTTGGGAATTCCTCTCTCCAAAATCACTGAGAGATGCAACCCCCTCCTCACTCCCCAGGAGACAGTGCTGCTCTAATCTACTCTTTCTTGTCCTAGGGGTTCTTCTTTCTTGTTCCAGAGGCTCTGGGCATCTGAAGAAGATAGGAAAGATGGAAGAGAGCATAGGAAGAAGAGACATAATGCTGAGGACAAACCTCTCCCTGACTTCATTATTTTGTCCCTCGGTACTTGCTGTTTGCCTGGCCGCCACCAGTCACAATCTGTAGACACAGGTTCCAGGATGTGAAGACAGATCTGAGACCAAGAGGCTTTGTTCCGCGTGCTGCGGGCTGGTCACAGACTAGAAGGTCCCTGGCTTCCCTCTGTGAACCATCTCTTTCCTTTCTCTTCCTTCCTGAACCAGCTCTTCTGGCCTGCCACTCTGGTGGTTCTTATAAGACCCATCCTGACTGTGTGGGCTTTGTTAGCAAGCTATTGTGTCTGTTGGAATGGAAAAATGATCCTCTACTCTTCAAGGTTCTTTTGGCTCACTAATAATTAAATTAACACTAGATAAATTAGTAGAAAAAACAAATTAAAGTTTAACATGTATACCTCCTATATACATGGGAGAGACCCAGGAACACTGAGTAACTCCCCCAAATGGTGGAAGCCATCACTTTAAATATCACCTTCAGCTAAAGATGGAAGACGTTGGGGGTGGACAGTCAGATGTGGGGTTACCAGGAAAAGCACAGAAAACAAGGTTAAGATTGTTAGATTCAAAGATTCGAGCCCATGCCTTTTCCACTGATAGTGAAGGGAGGTCTAGTACAGGGAGGGAAAGGATATTTCCCTAGAAATGTAAATGTCCTTTACAAAGGGTAATTCTATTTGGTTTTCAGAGCTTCTCCCAGGTCGGCGATTTCTTAAAATTAACTAGCCTAAAATAGTCAGTACCCTAAAGAAGCATGTTGGGGTGGCCAGCTCTGTTCCCCACCACTTCTCATGGCTCAGTTATGACCCTTTCAGTTATGGTTTTCACTTTGGGCCATGCAGACTCTGAAGAAACAATGAACAGATTCGTCCACTCTCCCACACTGGGGTGAGCACACCTCAGGGCAAGAGGGAGGGGTCTAGGTACTAGATTTGGCTTCAAAATAATAAATAAATTTTAAGCATTATTACCTAGCTAAGAAACAGAGATTCGGAGAGACTCAGGCCCCTGTCAGAGATCATGTGGCAGTAATAAAGGAGGCAGACTCACCCAGGGCCTCAGCATTTGTTTTATTATACTTTAGTTGGGTTTACAGAATGCCTCCCAGAGGTTCTTACCCCGCACCCTGCCCCCTGGATCTTTCATTTACGAAAAGGGTTTAAAACAAGACTACAGGCCTTATGCTAGGAGGTCTCTGGAGAATGCGCAAGACGTGCAAGAATGAGAATTTTTAGTGTGGCTGGTGAGAGAAGATACACATGGAACATCACAGAAGAGAACAAGAACATGTTTATTGTTCTTCCCTTCATTCCACAAGCATTGATTGGACTCCTATGGTGTGGCCTGCACACAAACTGCCCCCAAGGGGCCTATAACCCACTGGGGAGAAAAGACTTTGACTGCACCATGTTAGAGCTGTTAAGAGTCTCTTTGGATTACTTAATTATAAATAATCTAGAGTTTAGAGTGTGCACTCACTCTCTCTCTCTCAGCAGCAGCATTTGAGAAGCCTGGTACATTAATCAGATCAAAGTGGGTTCTCTGGTCCAAGGTGGGGAGGGGAAATCCTGAGGCCTCAGTCCACTTGGTTCTCCTCGCTCTCCGCTTTCCTCCATCAGAGCAGTCTCTGAGGAACCCTCCTCGGAAAAACAGCTCAAAAAAAAAAAAAGCTCAAAATATCCCTAATCTGGTGCAACTCTAAAAGATCTCGGTTTTGGAAACTGAGACCCCCCAAGAGGTCAAATTACTTTCCCAAGGTCATATAACCTGCACTTCCTGATGATAGTGTGAACCAAAAGGGGGCTCTGTAATAAATCTGACAAATTACTGGGGCTGGGATGGAGGGGCACATGGCAGACCTGACAAGCTCAATGACTAAAAGTAACCACACAGAACGGTCTTAACATAAATTCCTAACTGGGCAGACCACGTCCCAGGCCTGTAGATTCCTTAGCGAAGGTCAATCTTTACATTAAGTGAGCCCTGTCTACTATTCGTATGCATCTAGGCTAATATACCTTTGAAATGTCAGAGTAATTTTCCTTTCTAGAAGGCACAACTACAGGCATCAGAGAACGAGACTACAGAGCCCCTCACTGTTATCTTGTTCCCCGCATATCATCTCTATGTACTTTAAGTGTTAATTATTAACTATCTTGTAGCCACAGATGTATAAAAGGTATGAGTTCCTCCATTTTGCTTTTTATCCAATCTTAGAAATTTCTTTGCTTTGCTTTCTCCAGTCTCCTTAATCTACCACCAGTGGATTCCAAGTAACCCTCCTTAAGTCTTCTCCTTTGATTCCAATGTATAAAATAAGCTGCAAAGCTGCCATTCTCTGGAGCGTTTTCTCAATCCATTGCTCCTGGGCATGTCCCCAAAATTTGGCTCAAATAAAGTCTTATAAAACTTTTCTATAGGCTTCTTGTTCTTTATGGCAGGTCTATCTTTCCTCAGCCACTGTTATACAGTAGTGTAAACACAAAGTCATGAAAAAGGGAAGGTGAGCAGTGGGCGATGGCGGGTGAGGAAGGGGGCTGACAAGTTCAGTACAGGCTGCAAGGGGTCGGGGATGCAAGAAACCTGAGTGGGTCCGATGGGTGAGAGGGGCAGAGTCCATCCTTCAGGAAGGGGGCATGGGTCAAGCAGGTGTTAAATTCAAGAAGCTAGTAGATAAGCAGTATGATGCCAGTGGAAAAGTGGGATGGGGTTAGGATCAGGTTTGACGTGGAGAGAAGGCCTGCGGCACAAGCTTCGGTTGGCAGTAGAGTTGGAGGGTAGATTTTTTTTCCCCTCCATTTCACCTCATTGAATCTGCTGATACTGTGGTTGGACTTTGGAAGCACAACAGAAGGCTGGTCTCCTGGGCAGGCAGGCAGGCGGGCAGGCAGGCGGGCAGGCAGGCAGACACACGGGCAAGTGGAAGTGGTGTATTAAATAAGTCTTAGGACAGAAGCTGGGCTGCATTAAAAATTAATCAAGATGATGTTTGAATGAAAAAAAGAATGAAGTGCTGGGGAAGAGGCACTCTGAGGTCTGCTGGAACAGGACAGGGCCACATCAGCGCCAGATGCAAGCCGGTGGCTTCGTGTCTATTTAAATGAGACAGAAAAGCAGCGCTGGCATTGAAAAACGGTCCTTCTTGGGGGTTTCTGTGAACCTTCATTCTCTTACCCATAAAATGAGCCCAACAATCTCAACTCTATCTCCACCTTGGGGATTCTGTAAGGAACAAATGAAACAAGGTTAAGAACCATTGACAGGCTTTACCGAGGCTGGAGTCACAACTAAACATGGCTTTAGAGGTGGCAAATTGTGCATATATTGGCCCTGGAATAAAATGAGGGGGAAGGCATTTGGATTAAAGATTCTAAAGCCAAATGCAATGTATGTGCCTGACACCCTTGTCCCTAGCTTGCACTCCCTGAACTAAGGTTTTGGCAGATAACTGCATATGGTGAAGCCTCCCAGCAAGACACATAGTCTAAAAGAGGCCTCAAAAACTGCCCACTGTGATAGCCACTAGCCACATGTGACAATTTAGATTTAAATTTAAAATTTAGTTCTTTAGTCACATTAGCTAAATTTCAAATGCTTAATAGCCACATGTGGTTAGGGTCTGCCAGAGAACATTTTCATCATCACAGCAAGGTCTATGGGTCAGCACTGCTCTGGAAGTATAATAGGGTGGAGGGTTTGTTCCCTGAGACTTCTCAGTATAATACAACATGGATTGGCTTCTTTCTCTGCCTAAGTTCAAGGTTAATTCTGAATCCCTTCACTGCTTCTGCCACGTTCTTTAATACCAGACTTTGATAACTCACTACCTGGTAAGAGTGAAACCATCAAGCTCATTTTGCATCTGCTTAGGACCAGAGGTCTAACAGGGGAAGACAAAAGGCTCTTCAGAGGTTACTATGTCTTCTGCTATTTTAGTGACTGAGAGCAGGAATTCCTGAACCCTAAGAGAGATGGCAAGTATAATAGAACTGTGGGAGACATTCTGGGACAGCGAGGACCAAATGATATCCCTCAAACAGCATGGTGGAGGGGGCCGCTCGCTTCTATCAGGGAGGCTGTATAGCAAAGTCATTAAGAGGACATGCTTCCTGGGTTGGAATCCCAGTTCCTCCACTGTTAGCTCTGTGACCTCGGCTTTATATAATCTCTCAGTTTCTTCACAGTCTCAGTTTCTTCATAGGCAAAATGGGAATGGTACTTAACTTCAGTGGGCATTGTGAAGATTAACGGATGTAAGACAGAACAGTGTCTGGCGTGGCGTAAGTGTTAGCTAGTAGTTGTAGTAGCAGCTGCAGTAGTATTTGATCATTTGTATCATGGTCTTCCTTGCTGGAGACTGTGAATAAGGCAAGTTCACCACAGGCACCAATCTTGTTTCATACTCGGTATACTCGCTCCTCTCCAACCCTCCCCACACACCAAGATTTTTCCGTCATGGTGCATGCTGAACACTTAATTTTTTGTTTCTTCAGTTTTAGGAGCCACTATTGAGACCCAACACCTCGTCCTGCCTTTGCCCTGCCATAGAGCTCTCTTGGTGTTTCCAGCGCTGCATCTCTAGCACAGTGCGTGCTGCTCAGGCCGAGCAGGGGGCCCAGGCCCCGAGCTCCTCTGGAGAAGCAGCACAGGCTTGGCCTTGTGTGAGGCAGACAAAGGTTGGCCCTGAAAATCCACCTGACCAAGACCACCTGACATTCAGACTCTGGCACCCCAAAGGGAGAGCACCCAGAGGCAAAAGTGAGTGGGGTCAATGAGATCCTATCTCTCTAGAATCTGAAAAAAGGAAGATCCAAACACTGGGCAGTTATTTAGCCACAGAGGCTGAAACCGAAAGGTGAAGGGACCAGAGAAGTCCGCGATGGGCAAGTGAGATCTGAAGGGAAGAGGCAACGAAAATTATGTGTGCAGTGAAAGAACTGCACTAGGCCTGGTGTCCCCAGGACTCTGGGCTGGGAAATAAGGATAATGGCTAAGGGAGTAGAGCTTTCACCTTTCACGCCACATGCAATGGCACTTGTCCAGAACTGCTTCTTATTTCGTCTTCACTAGAAGCATGGAAGGGACATGGAGGAAGTACATACAGAAAAGGCTCCATAAGCACTTTTAAGATTTGCTTGAAATGCTAATGCAAAAAAGCAGCTACCATTAAAATAAACAATTTGTGGTTGAAAATATCCATGCAAACATAGCAGGGCACCCCTCAGCTGCCCAACAGCTACTTTCTGATGGGCATAGGAGTGTCTGGGCCCAGGGACCATCAGCTGATGACCCCATTCTCCTGCCTGCTCCACAGCGTCCCTCTGTCAAAGAGAACTGGCTTCCTAGATAAAGAGGCCATGCTTCAATCAATGTGATTTGATGAACCAATAACAGAGCGGCTCTCACCAAAACAAACTCTTTGGCTGAAAACAAGAGAGCCAACCCAGGCAGCAGTGCTAACGCCTTGAACAAGTCTATTTACCTTTCCAAGCCTCAGGAACTTGTCTAGAGAAAAGAAAGAATTTGGACTAGATCATTTCTTGGGCTCCTTGTACTTTTCTCATCAAACCCAGAGACCCTCAAGACACATTTCCTTCTTTAGCCTATCAGCCCTTGGCTTTCCTACAAGCTAATCCATTAAACAAACCACAGAAATCCTGCTCTTTCTTGTTTTCTCCCCGCTTTCCTTCCTCTGACATGACAACGGTCTGGGTTGGGATTCCTGGGCCAGGGTATGGGGTAAGAATAGTTAACGGGTAGAAGCAGGAACAGGACCCAGCACTGAGCAGGAAGGGCTGGCGTCAGGAAGGGCTTGCTGTGCTCTTGGTTGATATTTTCAACACCCTGCTTACATGGAAAGCTGTGTGAGGTGGCCTTGCACATTGAACGGACCTCTGTGAAAACTGAAAATGGAAAATTGAAAAAAACACACACATATAACAACAGCCACTTCCTAGTAATCCAATACCTCCTCTGCTTATGAAAAGGAGCCTGGCCCTGTTTTGGGGAGCATGAAGCCCTACCTACCTGGGCCTTGAGGCTCTGGGAACGCAGAGGCCATTTTCATCCAGCCTTCAGAAGTTTCCTTTTGTGGCATCACAGTGTTAAAAATATTTCTCCCCGAAGGTGCAACCGCGGCAGAGCAGATGTCCCTGACTGAGCACTTGGGAAGGAGCTATTAAAAGGCACATAATTAGGTTGTCATCCTGGGGCCTCTGAGCCAGGCTTCTGAATGCCATCTTTGTTGAAAGTTTTCCAGACGTCAAATATTTGCAGAATCTGTTTTACCAAAAGGCTTTTAATACCCAGCAGGACTAGGCTGCGTGCAGCAAAGGCAAAATGACGCTGTAGGCCAAGGTTGGCCTCAGGCCCCAAAACTCCTTCTTCCGTGTCCTTTCCCCATTTTGGGTCCTAGCCTTGCTCCTAATTTCCTCTTCTCCTCCACACACAGCCTCGCATCACAATTTGCTCTTAGAAAAGACTTGGTCAGTCATTTACCCCTTGGCATGAATGTAAGTAAGTCACTGAGCACTCATCCTCTCTCCCGGAATGTGGGATTCATGCCTGAGTTCTGTACACTTTAGGGAACAAAAGGCTTTGTCTCCTTTTGTAAAAGAAAAGGTTAGACATCAGAGCAGAGGTGGGGGAGGCCTTCCTACTGACCCTGAAATTGCACTAAGGGCAGTCATTTATTCATCGATGTATAGAGCCAGCCCTGATTCCCAGCTCCATTCTGCCTTGAAGGCATATCTGTTGTAATCACTCCCCTCCTTCCTACTTATTATATCCTGCAGGCTCATCTGACCAACCATCTCATTGGTGATTCATCTAGCTATGCATCTGACTTTTACTGAGAGTCTCTGTGGCAAGAAACGTGCTGAGCACTAGCAGCCATGATCCTTGTCATCATGGATGGAGACAGCATAGATGGAGAAAAACATTCATCAGATACTTACAAAAATAAATGTATACAAAGGAAAATGAAGTACATGGTGTTGAAACCCTCTGCAGTAGACAAACTTATAGGTAGTGAAGAGATGGCTCTACAAACAATTATCAGGCCAGGTTTTCTTTGGTGGCAAAGAGAGGGGCCCTGGCCTCCTCCTCCTGGAGGCCTTCCCTGATATTTTGGCCTGCTTTTTACCCTTTAGCAACATATCATGGTTATTTCCCCAGGTCAAGAAATATTATTGTATAGACTTGTTCATGGCTACTTAATATTTCGTAGTAGAAAAAGCCACAGTTTCATTCAGTGAATCCCCTGTTGTCAGACAATTAGCTTGTTTCCAATGTTTTGCAATCCTAGGTAACAATTTCATAGATGAACAAGCTTGTATGTGGTCTTTGCCCACTCCTCTGACTTTTGCTCAGGTTAAAATTTGCTACGTATGAATAAATGTGAGGGCCAGTTTTATTAAAGTTCTCTTACCTGCTGACCCTGTACACCCAATGAGATCCTAGTGTTCTTCTCACTCTGTACAGGGCTCCTCTGGGTCCTCATCCATCAACTAAGTCTGGAAGAAGGGACAGGAAGAGTGACAGCAGGAAAGAACCTAAGTAGGCAGTGGCTAGGTGATGGCGGTAGGTGTTAGTGGGGCTCAATCACCACTAACCTCTTTCTCCACCTGTTCTTCCTCATCATAATGAACTGAGTCTGCTTCTGCTGGTGCATGGCCCTGCCCTGACTCTCAGCACTCTGCTTCACCTGCGAGACAGAGCTTGAGAGTGGGAGGGGCTTGGACCTCCAGCAGTGAGCTCCTGCAGAAACTTTCTCTGGAAAGCTCACAGCCCTCAGAAGATATATGGGGCTGCCTGGAATATATGTCAAAAGAGAGAGCCCCTGGAGGAGACCAGGCTGGGAAATAGGAGACCAGACTGTGGTTTAGAGTGTGTTACAGATGTGTTGTGTAAATCATCTAATCTCTCTAGGCCTCTGTTTCTCCAACCATCATGTGGAGTTAATCCTCTTTTATCCCTATTTGACCAGGACGATGCGAAGATGAAGTAAATAAATATGTCAACTTAAAATGAGCTAATCAACATGAACGTGTATGGGAATATGCAGGTGGAAAAGAAATCAAGACTGAATAAGCCATAGAGCATAAGTGGGCTTTGTGTTTTGTTCACTGTTGTATCACCAGTGACTCGCACTGAGCCTGGCACATAA